GGTTAGGTCATGAGATAACGAGTTTAAATAGGGTCCAAAACCATAAAATAGGGTTTGGGTCTGATTGGAGTACGCCTAGGGTACTCTGAAGAACACCCGCGACTATCCTGGTCTGTACGCCCAGTGTACGCCAAGGTACGCCCCGCATACTGCTTTCTTCACTAGTACCCTACATGTACGTGACTAAACCTTAAAACCACCAAACTTTAGAAGGCCATAACTTCTTCGTTATAATCTCGTTTCCGACGATCCTTATATCTACGGAAAGGTAACGAGAAGCTCTACACTTATATCAACTCATACCATCCTTACGACCTTCCAAACAAAATTCCAATTTCCTTAAAAGCCCAAACTGACGCCTTACCGAAATACCACTAGGCTCCAAAACACGAACCAAACACCCAAATCACTTCAAATACATCGCTCGCATCCAAATGGTCCTAGATCTCACATTTTCAAAGTCCCTAATCCTTATGACTGATCTTTGGGCAACAGCCTTGAATTAGGAATCGATTCGGAATAGGGCGCTACAAATAAGATAAGGAGGTATAAATATTCTAAGGGCGATTAAGATGTTAAGCATATAAACCACTCATCGCACACCCTCCCCTCTTAATAATATAAAGAAACCTAATTAATCCAATCTACACTATGAGTCTGAACAGCGACCTCTGTATTCAGTTCACTCACAGCATGGCTCTGATACCAACTTGTAACGTCGTGACTTTTACCATAAACCTTTTTTTTTATTTTTAAAACAATCTTTAACAGAATACGTTAGCGGAAGACTTATTTTTTAATTTAAAACATTTTCAAACAACAATGTTACCTCAAAATTCATACATATTTCCAGACCATTTAAAACGTAAGAAAAAGTACTATAAAGTAAATAATCAAAAATGTGTCCAAGAGTGGTATCGATAATATAAATCTACTACCCATAAGTAACCCCTATCACAAAGGTCAATATTTTAAGCTGTCTGGACCAATCATACGACACAAAAGAGAAAAGATACAAGTGTCAGCCCATGCTGAGTGAGTTCATAAGGGTTTCACATAAAACATACAAACCACAAACGGGTCAATCATTTGATTTACGATAAAGCATAAAAATGATAGACAAATACCACTTAGAAAACAACCGTATATCGTAATTATTCAACAACATATTCAACCGTGTACACGCATATATGTTCAACCGTAATTCTACCACATACATATATGATCAAATAAATATCATATAAACAACTGCATATCATGTAAAAAATCACATTTCATATATAGCCAACCTTTACTTATTCAATCTTTTATTGATAACCAACCTCTTCTTACATATTCAAACCTTTAATACACAACCAAACTTTTGTTATATTCAACCTTTTAATATGCAAACAAACGTTTTTTATTTATTCAACCTCTTATTATATCTATCCAACCGATTGATAGAAAAGTGTCCCTTAGTGACACCTAACCTAGGAGAAACACCTCGTTCACTAATTATGTGCAGGAGCAGCCGAATACTCTAAGTGGCTCATGAATTTCACCCAGAACACCAACCCCGTTACTCCACTTTCACTACTCAGACTTTGCAAAGTACAAGTACTTCGCATTGTCGTTCAGGAATTTATACAAATTGTTCCAATTCTATCGCAACACCTTCCAACTCCCACTTGATGTTTGCAATGGCCACAAACGAGGGACCAACATCTCTCCAGCCTACGAACACCAAAGTGCCCGCAAACCATGTGTCACACGGACATCTAGAAAGACCAGCAACTGACAACCTCTATGGCTATAGCTCTTCCTATGGGTACTCTTTCAACCTAGTAGGCATCCTCAATGATCCAGATAGGCTTTTAGGAAAGGATCATCAAAACCCAAACCCACTACGCATAACCCCACAATATCATTTATACATTAAATAAAGCATGCAATTCATACCATCTAGATGTGCATAAGAACATGCATTATATTCATAACCAACACATCAAAGCACAATCATATATCGTTCTTTCAAGAAACTTAAGCTAGCATTCCATATACATCAAGTTCATCAATGTATAAGCAACATAGCAATCACGTCATAACATGGAAATATCACAAGCCATATAGTAGCATCATAAAGTTCTCAAGTCCCAACCTAAAGTGAATCAAATCACAATCTATGGACTGCACATTTCAATCATTCAACTTTAATGAGTTAAAACTGTGAACTCACCTTTACGCTTGATGAAACCCTCCTTCTATTCCAATTATTGAAGTTACTTAAAGTTCTCAAGGCCCTACCTAACCAACACACATACGAAGCAATTAACAAATAAAGTATATGTTTCAAAAATACAACTTTATTCGAACTTTTATATTATTTTTTTATAATCTCCTAGCCCGACCCCTGTTGAGTGTTTTAAGCATAAAGGAGAATGTCCAACTCCAAATGAAAGGTTACTGAACGTTCTGGAAACTAAACGTAATTTCCTACAAATTCATCAGAATGGAGGATCAACCATTTCTGCCCGGATTAGCAGTACAACCCTCGCAAGATGGGGCAACGTTGATGTGTAAAATTCCAACATTCATCAAAAATCACCATATGTGTTTTATGTCTTTAGGTAAAGGATTAAAGTCACTAAATTTTACACACAAAAGGCTTGAGTGATAGAATTGAGACATCAATTGAGTACTTTATGAAAATATCAATGTGATGACACAAAAAATGTTGAGAGTAGAATGCCCAAACATATACACGAACGTTTAGACCAAAGTTCCAAATTATGACCCGTAACAACCACCTGTTCAAGGCCATTTTAACACCACCAAGTCCAATCCTTGTTAGATCGATTTCACAACTTGAAAACCACTTGAATGATTATGCATAGCAGCCCTTTCGTTCTCCATTTCTCTTCTCGGTTCATAGCCTCGTCCACCCTCATAATCATGCATTTTTTTTTCTTCTTGCTAATCGACACAAACAATAGTAGCCAAAGGCAATTGATTTTTGACAACCTCCTAAAGCATATGTGAAGAAAAATGGAAGTGAAGGAGGAACGATTTGATTCCTTGGAGGTTATAGCCGAATTTACGCAATTGATCCCTTAAGATTTGGCTTTTAACCCTTCCAACCTAACCCTAGACACCTTGACAATTTAAGTTTCTTTAATGACAATTTTAGCCCCTCAATTCCATTTAAACCATTCAAATGAATTATATCTATCCTAATAATTTCGTAAATCAATTTAGTTAAATGACACACCTTTTTAATTTTGATTAATTATTTGAAGTGTAAATGATCATCATCTTATTTTTTAATATATTCAATTATATAACACTTGTAAGTCCTAAAGAAGTTTACTCAATAAGATATCAATCAAACTATCTAAAGAATGCGAAATATAAATAAGATAGTGATTGAAGAACACAAATTACTCTTAACGCACACAATTTATTATATCAAATCGTCTGAAATACAAAGAAGAACCTTGCAGCCGAATACCACAATTAATGAACAACTAACACTCCTAGACGGCTGAAAACTATTTATATGAACCAAATACAAAGCCTTATCATGATCCAAGCCCAATCTGACCAAAATCACCATAGTGATTTCGGTCCCCAAAACCGAAAACCCATTAAGCCCACTAAAATAACTATATTTAAAGCCCAAGAACAATTATAAAATAGAAGCCCAGCATAAACCACAAAAATATGACCCAAAAATCTCCCCTTGGTTTATTGATGGCTATTGCTGACTGACTTCATGGCTTCTCCACAAAATGAACATCAGAATCAACCAATGCTCATGCCCACAAATTCTTATCAATGATTGTTGCAATCATGCCAGTGAAAGCCTTTACAGCAGCTTCAAACATTTCATTTTGCACCATAAGCTAATGCTTGGATAAAGTATAAATGTCATGCTCGCCAAATTTCAGCAAATCCCTAGGATTAACAAGACGAATATGATCCTTTTTCATCTTGATTACGAAAGTCGTTGTAGCCTCATCATATACCCAATATAGCAGGTCATTCAAGGAGCCATCAGGTACACACTGAGTTATAAGGATCTTCTTTGCTTTATTCGTAGGCGGCCACATAACATTCACCATAGTGTTGTTGGTGTGCGGATCAATAACACCCTTGACATTTTTCATGAACGAAGACGTTGTTTTCAACCCTTCAAAGTTCAACTTTGCTTTGTCTTCTAAGAACCTTTTAAACGCCCATACGTTGGGATCATTTTTTGGATTGTGGAACGGTGAGTGGACCAGCTCTGCACGATCAAATTTTGTCCAAGACACAAAGTCAATCTACTTCACATAGTACTCAATGTTTCCGCTCTTTCACTTTATAATCCACATCTTCTTATCAGCTTCATATCCCCACATGTGAATTCCAAAATGATCACCATATCTATCAGCAAATTTTCTTTTTCCAATTTCTTTGATAAACATATGTGGGTGATCAGTAGGTGCATTCTGATCAGAGTTTTTCATCAGAATCATTTTGTCTTTCTTTAGCTTATCAACTTTTCTCTTCTTTTCCCTTTTTTCTTCAGCTGTGACAGGGCCAGAAGACAGAAATTGATCATTGTTAGCATCTGGAGCAGGATAAACTGTGACTCTTTTAGATGTGTCTGGTGCTTTTCCATCATCAGAACCTGATGTCTTGAACTCATCACCAAATTTTCCATTTAATTTGTCTTTTAGATCATAACAAAGAGTTGTTAACCCGCTAAGATTGGCCTGAAGTTCTAAGATCAACTTATTCTTTTGAGAATTTTCTTTTTTTCAAGCTCAGAATCTCTCACGTCCAAATTTCCAATCAGGAAGTCCTTCCTAATGGACTCCTGCTTCAAAAGTATGATCTCTTGTTTGAGCTTAATAATGATTTGTTAAGAGTCTATATCACCTCCGTGCCCTGAGCCAATAGATATTCCCTTTCCTTTTGACTGACGAATTGAGTCTTGAAAAGCATGTAGCTTAGCTAACTTGACAGATGCAACATCATGCTCTGGAGGTGGTGGGGGCAAAAGAGCTTCCCGAGGCAAAAGTTTCCTCATTAGCTAAGAAGTCGAATTCATCGTCAAAAATTGGGCTTTGAACATCTTGATAAACCTGGGCTAGTTCAACAATTAGACTTTGATCATCTTGATGAACCTGGGTTGGTTCAACAATTGGGCTTTGATCATCTTGAATAACTTGGGTTGGTTCAACATACGAAGTTGGGTGTTGTACTGGTTTATCAATAAGTACTCCCGACCTTGGATCTCTATGTCTTCTCTTTCTTGGCATCAGGGAGGCATTTGAAACGTCTTTATCACTCCCAAATGGAGACTCAGTAGTATTAGGAACTGCTTGGGGAGGCTTCCTCGCAGTTGACTGTAATTTTTCAATAAGGGCTTCCATCCGTTCGAGGGTTGGATTGTTTGGTTGTTTCAAAATATTGATTTCAGTCTCTGTCTGAGTTGGAGAAATCACATCTTCATTGACTGGCTCCTTCGATGGTACAAACATACGAAAATCCACATCATCATCATCATCATCATCATCATCATCATCATCATGATTAACATCATCATCATCATCATCATCAGAAACCTCAAACGAAAAACTGAGATTTTCTTTTGATGGCGCCACATGTTCCTCGGCCACCATGGCAATTGGAGTACTAGTAGTTTGAACACCTTCAGTCTCTGCGAATTTACTGAATTTCACCAAAGCTTATGTACCCTTGAAAACAAAACTTTGAAGCTTTTCGTACATGTTTCATGAGTCCAAAGGCGTTTGGACCCAGGGACTTGACATCAAAAGTATCGGGGGTCCTTTCCATCTCGGGATGCATGGCATCAAAGATCATTTGTAAGAACCGAGGATACATCAAGAAAAGATCCATCTTTTTCCCAGAAAGGTTGCTCTTCATTTTTTCAAAAACAAATTTAGAGAAATTATACTCCCAATCCATGGTCAGTGCAACAAAGGCTGACGTAGCTGTTTGGCTTGTCTCGTCCGCCCCTCCTTTCTTCCAGAGATGCAGCTAGAAAAAGTATGAGCCAAAAATATCCAATAACGTGGAAGCAGATTCTTGACTGTTGGAGGAAATATTCCTTCGTAATTCATCTTCTTTAACACTTCTATGATCTTGGCAGTAGAAAGTTCTGTTGGGAAAGTAGACTGATCTCCAAACTGAAGCACTTCCCGAATGACTTGCTCTGTAGTGATAATCTGCTTGCCTTTCACAGTAGATTCAATAGCACCAGTACCAGCCGCTCCTCCACAGTTGAATGATGCATTCCTCCAAAAATCGTTAATCAGGCCTTGCATATGAGTGGATTGGCACGTAGAGCGTGGGAAATTATGCAATTGTTCAAACCCACGATCATGGATTTGAATTCATTATGCGCGGCAGGTGCATCCAAGAGATATCCTGCGATATTGTGATAATCATCAAACTTCAACTTATCCGCCATTTATCTGCACCAACCGAGCCAAGTGAGATTCATAAAAATTAAAAATTAAAATTTTATTTTCTCAAAAATTTTAATTTTTGTCGAAAGGTTGATTTCGGTCAAAACATGTTGACTTCGGTCAAAATATGTTGATTTCGGTCAAAATTTGAGATATTGGTAGAAAGGGGGATGTTTTCGGTCGGATTCGATCGATTTCGGTCGGATTCAGGTCAAACCTAAAACCCGACTTTTTGATTTTTTTGAAATCCTCGATGAATTCGCCGGAAACCACCGTCAACTCACCTGAAACTCTTTGAATACCTGCAAAATGTCTAAGAAAAGGACATAAAAACTGAAGTATGTTACTCGCAATCTACATACCTAGTCATGATTTCGAAGAATCAAGAAGAAATGATGATTTTAGGATGAAGAGATGAACAGCGAACAAGTAGTTTTCGCTTGGGGTTTTGAGAAGAAAAATTGATTTCGGTGGAGGTGAATGAAATGAAGAGGAAAATCCTTTTAAACCCCCAAAATGGGTTCTCGGCCCTTTGGGCCACCGAATTCGGTGGGCCCGAATCCATTGAACAATTCAATTTTTTTAATTCATTTCTTAGAAAAGAAAGGTTGGAAATAAAATAAAATTTTAAATTTTAAAATGAATGTAAATAAAATGCCAAATAAAAAATAAAACTAAAAATTTTAGAAACAAAAATAAAATAAAACAAACACATTTTAACAACTGAATTTAAAACATTTTGGGATCAAAAGTTGTCAAGCAATTTAATATGGTTTCTCAGCGCACACCTACATGAACAACTCTGGTCAATCACCAATATTGTGGTCCACTTAAACACAAAGGATATTTACAAGTTGGATAGATTATAAGTGACAAGACATTGCAATTATATTCCTAAATAGACCATCTCGCTGACGACGACCAAGGATATTGTTGTCCACTTAAATTCAGCAGCGAGATCTACAGTCAGCCTTTAGTCATGAACCAATTCAATTTTAAGCGCACTAAGAATTACATACCCTAGTAGTCAAGCAATTCCAAAGAGCTCTTTAGTTTAGGTGAGTGTTCAATTATTTGAGAGAATATATATATATATATATATATATATATATATATATATATATATATATATATATATATATATATATATATATATATATATATATATATATATATATATGCATATGTTGTATCCCAGGTCGGATCTCTTCCAATCACGCAGAGGGACAACATATGAATAACATAGATAGAGGGTTAGAGAGATAGAAAGTTGCATATGCTGTGTCCCAAGTCGGGTCTCTTCCTATCACGCAGAGGGGATATCATATGACTAACATAGATAGATATAGAAATGCATAGATATAGATGCATATGTTGCGTCCCAGGTCGGATCTCTTCCAATCACGCAAAGGGGGAAACACATGACTGACATAGAGGATAAGAAAGAAAAACAAATTCACACATACCTATTTTATCAGAACCCCCAGTCACCCTATCAGCACCAGAATTAAGGACATAAGTCTATACGTCGAAGAAGTGTTGAACCACAGTTCTAGATGATAAGTAGCTTTAATGTATCGCGCAGGCTCCCTTGTTTATCTCACTCCTCAATCTATCCAAGTGTCGTATGATCAGTCCAAATGTGACTATCTAAGTCCAGATGAGTTAATAATGTCAAGTCCTTTCATTTGTCAACAATGTCTAGTCCCTTCATTTTGAATCCTTTGTGCCTACCATCACATTGAACACAGAGTCTAATCAATTCAACTTCAGTGCATTACACGAATTTCAGATTGCCCTTTAACACTAAACTTCATATCACTTCCCAAGAACACTTACGAAAGAAGACATATTTTTGGAAGTTTTGATTTTATAATTTTTATGATTTTTTATTTTATAAATTTTTTGATTTTTGATTTCTCCCCCTAAATTTGTGCATAGTGAAGAAAGAAAGTAAAATAAATGCGCAAATTTAAACAAACAAAGTAAAAATTAAAAAAATAAAAAGATAATCTTCGAAATGAATCATTTTCAAAAAACCCACAAGCACATCGAAATGAGCCTTACTGAAAGGTTTGGTGAACAAATCCGTCACATTGTTATTGGTGTGAAGTTGTTCCAAACGAATGAGCTTACGCTCATAACAGTCTCGAATAAAATGAACTTTAATGTCGATGTGCTTGTATTTTGAATGTTGAACAGATTTTCGGCAATTTGAATGGCCGCATCATTATCACAGAAAATGGAGGTGTCAAGAAAATTCAAACTGTAATCAAGCAATTGGTGTTGAATCCAGATAACCTGAGAGCAGCAGGCTGAGGCGGAAACGTATTCAGCCTCAGCCCTTGATGTCGACACCGTTTACTGTTTCTTGAGTTGCCATGACACCAATCGGTACCCCAAAAACTGACATCCACCCGATGTAGATTTCCTGTCAAAGTCACAATCTCCATAGTTGCTATCAGCAAAAGCATATAAATCAAATTCGGGATTTTTAGGATACCAAAGACCTAATTTAACGCTACCTTTATGGTACCTAAAAATCCTTTTAACAACAATTAAATGGGAAAGTTTAGCATTTGCCTGATAACGACCGCATTGACAGACGGAAAACATGATGTCAGGTCTACTGGCAGTTAGATACATCAAATATCCGATCATCGATCGATATTCAGTTTGATCTACAGATTCTCCATCTGGATTTGGAGTCAACAATGGTCTTTCTGCCATTGGAGTGGAAGCAATTTTGGAATCTTTAAACCGAACTTTTCTTGCATGTCTTCCACATATTTTCCTTGATGTATTAAAATTTCGGCCGAATCTTGTCGAAATTGTAACTCTAGAAACATTGTCATTTCACTCAGCTAGCTCATCTCAAATCTTTTCTTCATTACATCCTCGAACTCTTTGCATAACTCTATGATGGTCGACCCAAAAATGATGTCGTCTACGTAGATTTGGACGACAATCAAATTTGCATTCACTTTCTTGATGAATAACGTCTAATTGATCGTTCCCCTTATGTACCCGTGCTCCAACAGATGTTCAGTTATGATAGCATACCAAGCTCGAGTAGCCTGATGCAAACCATATAGAGCCTTGTCCAGCTTGTAGACATGATTTGGAAACTTTGGATTGACAAACCCCGGTGGTTGATCAACATAAATCTCCTCCTTCACGACTCTGTACAAAAAGGTTGTCTTGACATCCATCTGATAAACGGTAAACCCCATGTAGGGAGCGTATGCTAGAAATATGCAAATGGCTTCCAAACGCGCCACAGGAGCATACACTTTGGTATAATCAAGACCCTCTATTTGCCTGAATCCACGAATGATGAAACGAGCCTTGTTGCGCACAATCACCCCACTATCATCTTGCTTATTTATAAACACCCAACATGTATCCAAGGACTTCTTGCCCTTCGGTAGCTCTACCAACTGCCATACTCTCAAGTTCTCGAACTGATTTAGCTCTTCATGCATTGCATCCACCCAGCTTGGTTCATTTAGAGCCATGTCCACATTCTTTGGTTCAATTTGACATATGAAGCACGAGTAAAGACACTCATTGACATATCCGCTTTCACATCTGGTCTGAATCCCGCTTTCTAGTGGACCAATAATGTTCTGGATAGGATGATCGCGTTCTGGGATTGAATGGCTGATATCATTGAGTGTGACTGGTAGATTTATGATATTCTCAAATCTGCCAGCTTCCGAATCACCCCCTTCAGACGGTATGTGATCATGAGAAGTACTTGCCACAAATTCATTTGCGAATGACTCTGGAAAGAGAAATTCCATGAAAGTTTGTGTGGCAGTTATTTTTCCCTTGATAGAATATCAGCTTCTTCGAGAGTAAGGGAGTGGCTTCAGTGTCAGAACTAGACTTTTAGACTGGTGAGGAAGGAGGTGTATTTGGTGTAGCTGCATCAACCGAAGGAGATTCAGGAATCACTACAGATAGTTTGAATGAGCCAATGATAACATCTTCCTCATCATCTTCAACAGCTGCACTCGAACCTGAGCATGTACCTAAAACATCATCTGAAAACACATTAAAGGAATTAAACAAAGAAGTGTAATCAAATAACCAGTCTGGTCCAAATCGAGCGTCCGTCGCGTTTTCTTCCAGCAACGCACATCGAATGACTCCCTGATCTGTTTGGTGGATTTTTTGTAAACTCG